CCTTACCTTTGTGTTATGGCTTGTCTGTTTACATTTGTTTACCATACATCGCCCATATCCCAGAGTCCAGTGCTCCCTGCCTCTTTGGCAACTTACTCTGGACTCTAGGTACTGTATACCTTTACTATACTTGAATACATTGGCAACTTACTCTGGACTCTAGTCCTGATCATCTTTGGTCACTCAGGAGCCTCTAGAAGCGGCCCATTCAGCTCCCATTGCAACAAGGCCATGAGGCCATCAATCAAGGGTCCAAGGGAAGCGTCTAGCTTCTGTCATAGAAGGTCAGGGTTGGCGGGGATCAGGAAGTGTGCATCAAGCATCTTGGTGAATCGTGAAGAGGTGATGATGTGACATAGTGACGAGGTGAAGAGGTGAAAAGTTCAGAAAAAGATAGGGGGGCCATGTTACTGTAACATTTAGTGTCCGGACTGTGATATGGTTTTGCATTGAGAGTGCAAGGGCGAAGTGACCAAATGATCCCACAGGCACTGGACGTTGAACACCCTCAAATTTATGTCACTGGGAATTTTCCTGATTTGAATGGACCTACACGAAACTGATGTTCCACCGATTGAACCAGAATTCAATGCATCAAGCATCAAGCTTCGAAGAGGGCAGCAATGATTATGCAAACATATTCTGAATTCCGAAGGCAGTGTCTGGATATATAAGCACTTGGTTTAATAGTTTACAGTAATTACATTTCTACTATCCCATTGTCCATGGCTGCAGACTAGGGGCACAAGTCTTACTTAATATCCTTTGTGGGGTGTCCAAATAGTGTTTGAAAGTCCGGTCTGGTCTGGTCTTTTGCCTTTTTTGGAGGTAACTGGACCAGGACCGGTCTTTTTGTTCCCACGATATCATCAAAAACTGGACTGGACCTGTAAAGACCAATATTTTCCACCTCGACCTCACATAATACGTACCTAAATAGGTTGCCATACGACCCTGGGAAGGGCAAACCAATTAGGTAGCATTTCATCAATTCCTTACACTGCCAGTAAATAGCCAAATAATGGTGAATATCTTTAACGTGGTAACATAAGCTTTCGGCACTGTCCGCTACGGTGCGTCCGCTCATTACCGCACTCTTGCGCTCGTCGTTGCCCACGACGAGCACGACTATTTGAAGACATACTCTCTCTTTCTACACAATGGGCGGAACAAAACGTCGCAAGGGCGTCTCTCGCAAGGTTCATATCACAGGATTCTCATACAATGGACAATATCGCAATGACGTTCTTGGACAACGGGCAGTAGTGCGTGAGCGGTCTGCAGCTCAACAGCGTTATCGCATTAATACAACAGGTAAAGTTTCTTTTCTATCTACTTCAATATTCTGCTCACTAGTTTACTAGGCCTCAGTGCTGATTCTCTTTCTGCACTCAGAGACGTTCGTTCGGAAATCCCAAGCTCTCCCACCTACGCTGATGATGAAGGACCACTCGGGGAATGGGAGCCAATCCCCGAGTCCTGGAATGATGATGAAACGATCGTGCACGCCATCCGAGACTATGTTGACAATCCGTGAGTTCTAACTTTCGTAGCACACTCCTGCTGATGAAAATATAGCTGGAATTATCGTACACATAAGGACTCCCGTACATGGCGCAGACGTATAGAAGACCTACATGCCAATTGGGCCCCACTTCTTCCCCAACTCGTTGATCTGTTTCTCCTTTGGAAAGCTTCAAACTCAACTGACAGCACATCAATGTCTCCGCATTCACCATCTGAATATGACTTTTCATTCCGGTAGTGGACATATTCACACTCGACACCGAAGTCTTGATCTCACGCGATGCAGACTGCCTGTCTCCCAGTGCAGCACTTGTTCGTGCCGGATACCTGGGTCACGTGCCACATGCACCGTCCCTTGCATTTTCACTGCATACGTTAGAATACTTCCGACTGCTTCGTGCCCGCAAGCCCTCTTTTAGTATTGAGGCATTTGCAAAAGTGCTGTGTGATTCATACCGGGTGTGTATATATCCCATCATTCTTACACTGATGCTGATGTATTACTAGATACCTTATCGGCGACGCTATCGCACATCCTTGTCGGGGGCGTTCGATACCTACCTAGCCATTCTCCGTGGTGTCGACAAGAAGATCAATGAAATTCTCGGACGTGACACTCCCAACTGGCGCATTCTCAATGCCTGCCCCCCTTGCACTTATGAATTGGAGGAAGAACCTACTCTCACCTTTGGACGGATGTATGTCCTTGACGGTGGGAACTCGGCCAAACGGATGGCAGAAGGTGCACGTAATCGTGGTGACATGCGGGAGTATACTGAGAGTGATTACTTACTTCCCCGCACATATGTTGACAAGTTTGCCAATGAGGTGCAATCGCGAAATTCAGACGCCCTGGACTCGCTGGAAGCTAACGATGATGATGAAGATACTGAAGCAGACCCGACAAGACGCAACATCGCATCAGACTGCAGCAAGAACTGGAAGGCTGCTGCGAGCGATGAAAAGAAGCGGATGTGGAGTATTTTCGACGAAACAGGTATCTTTGTCTCCGCCTGTCGCCATGGCCTTCTTTTGTGGGTAGCAGATATGGTTCGTAGCGGAGAACTGTGAGTTTTGCTATGATCCATCATCCATGTGTTCTGACATATACATAGGGCCAAGTACCCCCTCGCAATTATATCTAAAGTTCTCGAACTCCTCGGCGAGCGCTCTCTCGCCGCCTACGACATTGGCTGTGGGTTTGCTTCAACAATCCGCTCCAGCAGCCTCGGGAAGGCATTCGAGCAGCAAGGCTGCCGTATCTGTGTCGATGCGTTCCACGGATATGCGCATAACTATGCTTGCCAAACCAAGAATCATCCAAATGGCATTCAAGGCGCAGGCATCGAGGACTTTGGAGCCATTGAGCGCTTCTTCAGTGCATCAAATGCACTCGCTCCTGTCATCCGCTATGCGACTGCCTACCGTCGTTCCGTCTTCCTCGACCTTTTCTATAAGCAGTGGGATGACGATAAATATCTTAACCTCGCCACGATGATCTATCACAACTACAAGCAATCTATCAACATTATAGCGTCGGAATCTCTTGCCCTCGACACTGCCAAAGTGTCGCTTGGAATCCAGGACGGTGATCTGGAGGCTTGGCGTCAAGAAGAGATAGAGTATATTGCTTGTCTTGGCAAGGAGACTGAGTGGGACATTCACGCTATGACATATGTCGAGCTTCTTCAGAAGTTGAGGGACGCGCAGTAAGTCTTGTATATTTGTTTTTTGTTATCTATGTTAATCTATTATTTCAGGACCTGCGCCAGCGATACTTCCTTGCAGTTTATATCTATGGTGCCGTCTGATTATCAATTCTTGCCCCCCTCACAGGACGTATCCTATTCCGCCAATGTATCAGCTACGAGAAAGCTTGAAACTCATCGTACCGTGTGTTTGTCCTACTGATCATAGAATTTAACTTAGCCCAGTTCGTTATTGACTCTGAGTCAAGCTCATATGGGCAATCATCGGCTTCAGTTGGTACTATCTTACCAGTCACACCTAAGGCCCTTCGTACATGGAGAACAACGACTCCTGGATCGGCATCGCAGATTGTCAGCACCTCACCTCGTGTCCACCAATTCATTCGAGATCTTAATGGAATCCAAGGTGCACATTATCACGCCCCTCCTCTTGATGATACTCCGCTCCCTTCTTTTGGCGATGTCGCTGATGGCTATCTGCAATCTCATGGTTACACTGCTCGTGCAATTCTTTGTATCGCACATGCAGTGGAAGTCTCTCAGTCTGGGGAGGATTTTGTTCACGATATCTCTGGAAGGGGCCTTGCTATCACTGAAGCTCAATGGCTGTGGTTACTCATAACTGGTGACAACACCTTCTGATTCATGTATCTCTACTTATCGCTCTATGTCATTGTTTGAAGTCACGTGGCTATACATGTTAACCGATGCTAAAGCGAAATTCTTAGCATTTCTTCGCCTTAACCGATGTCTACTCGTTGTGTTCCGCACCATGAAAGCAAAAACCTGGCTTGGCCGCTATCATACGAAATTACAGAAACTCACTACTCAAAAGCCTCGGAAGCCATGGCGCCACCGCAGCAAAGGTCGCTACAAGCACACGGCCAGCGAAAAGGCCGCTTTGAAGGAAAAACGTCTAGCCCATCGCATTACATATGCTGATGCTCTCAAGGATGCCCGTGAGGTCGTGCAGGAGCAGGCAAAGCTACTGCATGAGAAATTTGGCGGTCATAGCATTCAGTATTATCATGAAGAGCTCATGCAGCGTGCTCGCATGGCTGCTTCATCACGTAGTCCTTCAAGATGGAACGCATTTGTTCGGCGTGAGGTGAAGCGGATGAATCAGGGTACGTGTGTCCTCACTTGTTGTTTTTTGTCGTGCTCAGTGTCTTGTACCTTTAGAACGTCCTCCAGGTTCCCCTTTCCTCAAAGCTTCTCATTGCGTGAAAGGACTTGCGGCGCGTTGGAACGGCATGTCAAAAGACGAACAAGAGAAAGAGACCGCGGATGCCATGAAAGATCTCGAAGACCATCGCGAATCTAAGCAGCTTGCCCTACACAACGTGCCTCTGAACGCTTTTCAAGACGTTCGGAAAAGTCTCGAGTTACTTGACCGTGAAGTAAGTATGACATTTGTCTTGAAAAATGTAACAACCAGTGGCTAACACCAAACAACAGATTCATGCTTTGAATGCACGTACAGGCCTCGAGGTCGTGCTACTCACTTCACGTTCAAATATTGACCACTTCAACCAGCCACATATCTTTGTCACCGAGCGCGCTGCTGACTTCTTTGATGCATGCTTGGGCTCTTCCATTGCGGATGTCGCAGTACGTTTCGAGGCATTCTGCATAGCTGGGGTACAAGGTAAGCGCCTAATCATATTCTTGTTGTATCACACTTAGTTCCGCACTGGCAGGTCTCGCCAAGTCTCACCTCCAAGAAGTCCTTGATCTCAAGAAATCTACCAGCGAGAATATTTTACGGAAGCTTCGTACGTCTCTTTAACACTTTTATTTGATTTTAATCTGACTTGGCATATAGAGGCAGCAGCAGCCCCCACCAAGGTGTCGCGCATGTATTACCAAAATTTCGACACCTACATTACCGCTAAATTCGGGATCATCATCGAGAACTGGCCACTGCAGAAGTTCTGCTGCCTGGGGGACATCAGCTCACGCTCCGAACTCGCCGTTTTGAGCCTTGCATGGGAGTCGAATGCCACTCGCTTCCGCAAGCTGACAGACAGCGAGTTTAACGAGTGGAGTAACCAGCGCTTCCAGGACGCAATGGATCAGGCGAGAGTAGAAAGAGATGATGGGATGGAAGTAGATGGTGAAGGACAGGAGAACATCATAGAAGGATCCGACAACGAGCCTCCGCTCGACTCCACCTCCCTTCCTCGCCAGCAAACATCAGCTCCGAGTCACAGCGTGAATGTCGTTACAATGGCGAACGGAACTAGTGTCAACATATCAAAGAGGACTCGCAAGCCGCGCTGCGATAAAGGTCAGAAGCGTGGTCCTCGAACGAAAAAGTGCTCAGGTCAATCAGAGGCTGATCCTAGTATTGTGTCTGTAGCCTTGTGATAATTAATACTATGTTTTTACATCTACATCTTGCAATTTATGACCGTATGTTAATTCCTTAAGAATAGTAAAAAAAAAACATGAATTTTGACTCAATTGTGAGATAATAGTCGTGCTCGTCGTGGGCAACGACGAGCGCAAGAGTGCGGTAATGAGCGGACGCACAATTGCCTAAAGAAGAAGGTTAGTTCTCGTGGCTGGTACCTTAGCGGACAGTGCCGAAAGCTTATGTTACCACGTTAAAGATATTCACCATTATTTGGCTATTTACTGGCAGTGTAAGGAATTGATGAAATGCTACCTAATTGGTTTGCCCTTCCCAGGGTCGTATGGCAACCTATTTAGGTACGTATTATGTGAGGTCGAGGTGATATTTTCGGTCTTTTGCGGTCCTACAACCGGATTTGGACCGGTTGCCACCTGGACCGTCATGTAGCAGTGTAGCACTCCTTCCCACAATTCTAACGGTGGTTCATTTGTATTAAACGGTTAATATCTGAGCAAGATATGAGCATTATAAAAAAGGGTTCCCAAACTCCGCCCTGCATGTGAGTCAAATATGAAATGTCATTACCATTAGCCAGCTGAATTAAATTTATGGATTTGAGCAGCCAGCTCATTGGTCGCCTCATCTGCCTGCACTGGACGGGTATTGAAGTGTGCTGAAGTTGGACCTTGTGACTCCTTGGCCTGGGTCTCAGAGTGTGTCAATAAATATACTGAAGTGCTGGTTAAGGCAACCATTGGAATTGTAACTTCGGGCCGCTGGGCCTTGTTGTGCGCAATCTTCTTGAAATGGTCTCAAAATTTCACACCAACTGACTTTGGCCCATTGAAATAGTGCCCCTTCATCAGATATGGTAAGATATCAGTGAAGTATGGCTTTTTTGGCTGTGGAATGGGGCCGTTCTTCTCCTGGAGAGTGTGCGCAGCATTGAGCAAATCAACACATGTAACCCAGAACATAGCAACCTGCACTGAAATGCTGTTCATAATGGTAAATGTGGTTGACCGAAGCCTTCGCAGTGTTGACATGATCAGGGCCAAGACGATAATATGATGTCACTTGAGCACAAGTGTTGTCTTTTAATTACTCCAACTCTTGAGTGTACCAGCGTGGCAAGAGCTGTCACATATGAGTCATCAGTCTTGAGGCGATCACCACAGGTGCAAGCTGCTGATGAGAGGGCATCCCGTATAAACAGGCTCTTCTCAGTGAGCTCCAGATAGCCATTGACAAATGATATGTGAAGTTTTGCCTCCTCAATATCTTGGTCCGTCAGGTTCAACTTACCAGTGTCCGTCAATATGAGTCTGGGCCTTCAAGAGTGATCAGCATGACCATCTGAGTCGCCCTCCTTGGTGTCACTGTGGTGCACAATGGCATCAAAAGTCTCACTCCCTTCAAGTTGCATGAATGGCAGGACGACCGGTGGATGGGGAATCTGTTCCTGCAGCACTAGCTTCACAACTGTTCCAATAGCAGCAACCACATAGGTGAGTTGTTGGTGTTGGTGTAACAAATATGAAATGAACAACGACATGAAATATGAGGGGGTTGTTGAGAACCCCATCAAGTATGGTGATGTTCCCGCCCTGAAAAAAAAGATTGAAATTTGGTATTTGGAAACAAAACAAAAATGTACTGCATTGACCGTAAACCTATGCATGAAGGCCAATGGGTTATAGTGGGGGGTAAAAATTATATCACAAGGCGAGACAACTCCATACCATGACCAACCATGCAACCATCACCTTCTGCTGTTCACAACTTGTTGTTCTGATTGTAACTACGAGAAAAAATCTGTATTCAACTCTGTAACTTATCTGTAGAAACATACTGTTCATACCCGCATGGATGTCGCCTCTGAATTCGCAAGAGAAAAAAAGCACAGCCCTCTCACCATCAGTACTGGCCATTGCAGATGCCGTCAAAAAGAATTCAGCGCAACTCCACTAGTAGTAATCACTGGCTGCATAGCAAAAAGCTCAAGCGACAAAGGGCGCTGCATGCTTGGCTGTGTAAGAACAGGGGCAGCAATTGTGGGTTGCATGATAGCGAGGGCAGCCATTGTAGTAGTTGGCTCAGGTGGCCGAGATACTCAGGGATCAGGTATGGAATATGGTGTGAAGGAAGGTTGAGGGCGTCGCTACATACAGATCGCTGCCATACTGGATGACTTGGTATTGAAATACACAGGCCCACTCTTCCAGCGCCTCGCCACCATCCAGATCATCAGTGCTGGCACTTCACATAGACTCTGTGCCAAACAGAGAGCCAACTGGAAGTGGCGTGGCTAGAGGATACACTCCACCATGCTGCCTCCATCTTCAGCATAGACTCCATGCTCCCATTGGAGTTCACCATGCTTCCCCTTCCCTCTTCCTATGGCTACCTTCAAGTCTACAAGATACATACCCATGCTCAACGGTGTACGCAGAGATCAAGACTCGTGTTTCACAGTCTAATAGGCCTTGTCAACCTATTCGATGGGCGTCCTCTCGTTCGATACAAAACCACCAACTGTTCAGATCCTCTACGCCCACATATGTGACATCTGGGATGCGCTACAACCGGAGGTGCTCGGCAGATGCGTCGGTCTTGTCCTTGACCCCCAAATCTCAGCACTTGTAATTATATACACATATCTCAACCACATATGTGTTCCGCTTTGAGTCAAGATAGGAACATTGAAGGGGTTATTTTATTCTAATACAATAAAATTTCACACCTTTCATATTGCCCTTCCTTCCAATCTGTGCGTGAGTTATTCACATCAAGAGCGTCTGAAACCATAAAGCAATGAGTGAAGCAAAGGCTTCAAGCCGCCCTCGACTTTATCATACTGACTCAATGGGATCATGTGGTACCGCCCGAAGCAAGGCAGGTTCCACGGAGAGCTCAACCTTGAAGACGTGAAGAAGGAATTCAAAACCAGACACCATGCAAAATTTGTGTACGACGATGTCTCAAACCAATGGGACATCTGCTCCCTATTCGACAAGGACCGAGATCCACATCAGGACAGCACACAATTTGAGCGACAGTTGCAGGAAATTCCTGCAATGCCAGCTCCCCTGCTCACACCTCCCACCCTCCCAGAGGTGGGAAGATCTGTCATGCACCAAAACGCAATTGGGCAGGATGTGCTGTTTTCGACATCACTGGAAGATGTTTTAAACAACCACTGTGGACTGCTCAGCATGGAGGACGAAATATGGTCTGCAAGCGACTTCATTCAGGTCGAGGAATCTCAACTCGTTGACATGCACACTGTGCTCAAGTTCGAAGTCAACCTCCCCTTGCAACACTGCAATGAATTTGCTGTCTGGTACTTCATGTCATCCCTCATCCTTGAACTTCGACCCCGTCCATCTTAAGGGATCTACATCCCAACCACACACGGCAACTTTTCACTCACAACATATATTTCCAGGTTCAACAGGTCAAAGACAAGAGCCTACCTGGCTACTTGTTCCTCCCTGTCATCAAGAAATACACTTGCACTCGGAACTTGTTCCTCGCACATGCAACTTCCATGGTTCAGTGCATCAGGGAACAGTGGGGACTGTCCTTGGAGGATGTCATCCTTTGCCTGTTTGAGCAAGGTATACCCTTCAAAGTCCTTTTCCACGCTGAATGCCCTGCCATCTGTATGGTTGGATGGCCAACAGATTGGAATACGCGGACTATGAACTTCACCACACTCGTCTATTGAGGTTGCCACATGTGAGAGTTGCTGTTGCCCAAGCAGGAGGAATGTTATGGCGCCTGTGCAAACAAGAGCTGGCCAACGACATACCCAACAGGCCATCTGCTGATGTTGTCTATTTCGCAGATATGTTTGCCAATTCCTCGCATACCCTTATATACAACACTCTAAGCGAGCACCAGATCGACATATTATGTGGGATATATCATGTTGATACAAGTACACCCTTTTTCCTACTCTAATAACCACCTGATAACTTTATCTACAGATAGAGGTGCCCAGACTACTACGGTGGTGTGGTGGCCCAATCCTCAGCTGTGGGAAACATCTGAGCTGCACTGCTTGCCACCCCGAAGTGGAGGTCCAATCTCAAGTATTACAAACACCAGAGTAAGAAAATTTGCCGCCATATGGACAAAGAATGTCGACTGTTGGAGTGAACCCTAGTAAGTACACTACTTATATCAAACGCTTAGTTCTGACACATCATAGATACCACTGAGCTGGTCTCATAAACAAGTTTACGTACAAACCATTGGTACATTACACTGATTACATCTCATTTCTATATCTCATTCATTATGTTTCATTTCTCATTCATGATATCCATATGGCATATACACACCACAGAAACAGTAACAGATTGGACTTACATGGAACCCTATAAACCCTCTAGCCTCCAAACGAATGAGAAAAGCTTATGATGAAACAATGTCCAATATAGTGTCTAAGTCTATGACCTCGAAGGACTCATTCAAAAGCAAAAAAAACGGATTGGACTTTTGCTTCTTGTATAGCACTTATATTACCTGGTCATATATTGAACTGACTATCATGACTTGGCGGGCTGCCATACCAGTCAGTGGGCCTCGCCTGCCTGGCCAAAGAGGACCTCTTCCTGTTTATTGGATCACTCACTCCATGAAGGGACTTCAGTTCCGTCACCTCCTAGTGGTTTGATGGACTTTTGGATGAGTGCAACTTGTGTTATCATTACTCCTTCCTACTGTATATAGTGTGACAAATATTCAATGAGATCAAGCGAGAGCAATAATATAGATGCTGTGTTAGTTATATGATTATTCACCTCTACAGTATGCTTTTCTATCCATTTCATGGTCTTTATACGTACATATTCATTACCTATATTTCCCTGACCATTCACCCACTTTCCTGACCTCCCTAGGACTTGTCTAGGTCGAGTTATCCCTTACCTTTGTGTTGTGGCTTGTCTGTTTACATTTATTTGCCATACATCGCCCATATCCCAGAGTCCAGTGCTCCCTGCCTCTTTGGCAACTTACTCTGGACTCTAGGTACTGTATACCTTTTACTATACTTGAATACATTGGCAACTTACTCTGGACTCTAGTCCTGATCATCTTTGGTCACTCAGGAGCCTCTAGACACTTATGTCTTTGACAATTGACTCAACGATCATCTTACAGTTCCCTAACACATCCCTCTCTTTCTCCCTAAGCACAGACAACTCAGACACATTCAGGTATGCCCGTGGCAATGTGTGTAGCTATTTTCTTGATTTTCTTTTTGTGGTCTGTTTTGAGTAATAGGATGGCTACTGCGCGTATGATGTCTATGCACATTATTGACAGGGAGGGGGTCTGGATGGTGAAGTCTAGTAACACTGTGATTGTGTCGCCATATTGTCCACGAGGTGCGAAAATCTACACAACATCCACAGTTGCAAACACACACTGTTACATATTTAATCTCACTCATAGAGCGCAACTCTGTTACATTAGAGATGCCCTCCATGCCAAAGAAATGTTGTGCAACTAGCAGCCTGCCTGTTCTCAGACGCAAAAATGTCACAAGTGTGATGAGCAAGAGGATGTACATTCGTCTACGGTATGTCAAGATAGTCCGTACTTGCACATCCATTGACATTGAACTAATACTTCATATGACTGTGCTCCAAAGTATGTCACCGATGATGCTCGTGACAATGTGTATTCCTTCATGGTACGCAGATGACAAGCTTTTACATGGATCAGCTCACATTTTATGTAGGATAAGGATGAATAATATGTCCGTCACTGGGTGCACCAATGTGGCACACCATCTGCTATTAGCACAGGAGAGGATGAGTGCAGGCTCCCAATAAAGCACTTACAAGAGCAACTCCTGCACATGTACAAAGATATTGAGCGTCTGGAGGCAGATGCAAAGTGCAAGGATTCTTATATTCAGGACTGTGAGGAATTAGTGGATCAGGTGCGATTGGAGAAGCACCTCGTCATAGAGGAAATCAAAAGGGGAGCTGAGATGTTGGAGAATGGAGAGTTGGGCTTTTTCTCATAGCGACCAAATTATGTATACGACTTCTCAATATCTATCATTTGTTCTATTGACGACATAAAAATCATGGTACACAACACGTGGTGTGGATGTGTCCGAAATATATACGCATACAAACAAATATGCGACACATGTTATGGACCCATTGTAAATATCTACAAGTATCATATATACAATACATGGCACTTTGATAAACCCCCAACAATATCTGCCTTCATCTCCAATCTGGATGGGATACTCCATTTGTCAAGAAAGCGGAGGTTGCCCTCTCCAAACTCTCCTTGCAAGCCGGAGCTTCTGTTCACCGTTGTTGCCGGAGTCAATTCATGCATGGTAGGGCACTTTGTACAAAAATACAATGACAACTTCACTATTTGCCAGTCTGGGATGCAGCAAGAGGTATGCTTTCATATCAATGCAATACTCTAACTTATTCAATGTTCACATCAAAGTCTCCAGGTGTTGCTTGGATCGTCGCCCTGTCGATCGCACTCTGCAACATTCCACTTTGGCTCCACAATATATTAACCCTCTGGAGGAGCCCAACAAGTCCATTGAAATTGGCAACTACATTATGGTCAACATTGGAGACTTGATAGGTAAAAGTGGGCCGCAGGAGAGTTTGTTTGGTTCCATGACAACAACGACCTGCTTAGCAGTGACGAGTGATGAACACGATAGCAAAGGTTACGACATCAAACCTGGAGACATTGTTACCATTGTCGTGGACCCTAGTCTTGCACAAAGGGGGTTGTGAGCAAATAAGACTTCATCAATGCTCGACTAACTCTAGAGTCTGAACATGACCACCAACTCGTAAGTTTTTTCCTACAGTTCAGGGATCATGCAATTTTCTATAGGTCAAAGTTCCCATTCAATTTGTCATGAAGACGCGCAATGCCGACCTTAATTCATCAACAAGTAAGTATTCATCATTGGAGGGGAAAAGAAGGGTTTCTGTGCAACACTTTACAGTCTCGCCACTGATGATTGTGTTGTTGTTGTGCATGGTCAACCTTACATGATCGCCAAACATCACAATGTTGCCACGACACAAGTTATTCCCCTTCATCATTTTTGCGTCTTACAATTATGGGTGCTGATTAAATGGTTCAATGCCCAAATGGCACTATTTTTGCCTCCCCCTGAGAGAATCACACCTGCTGATGCTGGCCCCTGGGCTTCTTGGTCACTGGAGGTACTTGCTGCATTTGCCATGCAAACTTACAATGCCAGTCCTTGATATTCACCTTTGTGGGACTGATATTTGAGTCTATTAAGCATATTCATTGGTGCTTGACAAGGAAGTGGAGCCTCTTCAACTCCAGTTTCAGTTTCAGTTTCAGCAAATGATGCAAGCAAACAAGGGCCCAGCATCAGATGGAGTTGAGTGAGTTCTCGTCATCTTATCATTGTCATGCTGTCGTTGTTGCTGTCTCATTATGGTTGTCTCATTCTTGTTCTTGTTGTTGTCTCATTGTCATTGTCTTATTGTCATCATCCATTGCTGCTCCAAGTCATCATCTTTCATATTTGCTGTTGTTGATTCTATTGGACATATGTGTTTTTGGTTTTGTTGCTACCTTCAATGTATATACATTTGTTTTACAAGTGCTTTGGTAGTATTACATGTTCAAAAAAGCATTGATCATCTTTCCCTATGGTGTGCATCTGAGTGAGAACTGTTAAAGAGCTCATCCATCAACTTTATGTGAGCAGCTTGACCCAGAGTGCCGTCATATGCCCTGTCACCAACTACTTCTTCACCATCTGGACCCTCAATCTCTTGATCAATGAAATCTTCCCCCTCCGTACGAGCCTACTTAAGACAACTCTCGTATGTTCTGTCCTGCTTGTGATGCTCAATTTTGCAGCAAATAATCATGTTGTGCAAGATGATGCAGCACTTGATCCACTGCACAGAAAACTCAAGGTCTTTCTCAGCCTGAATTCTGAACTATAGCTCTCAAAAGAACAGCAAACATGTGTTCAACACTACACTAATCTACATAAATGAAAATCAATTGAAAAAACATCATACCTCAGAAAGGTGATAATTGAACGTCTTCTGGCCCCTTGTTAGCCGTCCATTGTGAGGCTTCTTGAAAGGGGCAATACACCATGGTTCCAATAGATAAGCACTGTCTGCCCAAACCCAATGACCATCAGGCAGAAGATCAGTGTGCTTGTTGTAGAGGCGAGTGGAGTGAAAAGAAAATGCACCATGGACACTCCTGGGATGACCAAGAGAGTAATCAACAATCAGGAGGTTATGGGGCAAGATGACTGCCTAGAATTAAATTGATTTTTGCACATGAAGATGAACAAAAATATTATCTGGCAGCCAAGTGAATAATTGGACTTCCTATCATACAATGTCTCACTATGATAATCAGGTTTTGTGAACAGATTCTTAGTCAAACCATCAATGGCTAGAAAGCCGCCTTTCCACTCTGGACAAGTACATGACTCGGCAAATTTGTGAGGCAGGTCAGCATCCTCAGAATCACCTGCTGGGAAGCAGATAAACTGATCATGAGCATCAAGCACCACAATCATCACATACTTAGTGTAATTAACTACAGACCTGACACTCGCCTGCCCATTGAGCAACATCCTCAAGTGAAATCAAGGAAAGGCATCACATCAGCCTTTTCCCAAAGAGACAAAGAACTGGGCACAAACTTACAGCGAACTTGTTCACACAGATCTCTGGGGACCAGCCCAAACTATGATGGAGGATGCTTGTATTACATCAGTTTTACTGATGATTACAGCCATGAAACAAAGATGAGCTCCTTAAAGCACAAGCATTCAAACACTATGAGACAAATCTCTCACGTCAGCATCCTGGGGTCCAGTTGAAGAAGGCCCATTCAGATTGAGGACGGGAGTACCTCAGTGCAGTATTTGATAAGTACTTGAAGAATGAAGGGTGGTCCTCTTGGGTTTGTTTGATCTTTTGTTCCTTAATTATCTTGCTATTTTGTGAATCTGGCTTGGGTGTGGTGCTGCAAGAGCGAGAATGAAGGGTGGGTGATGTTGCATGATCAAATGGACAAGTGTCCTGTGGAACCGACAATGCCAAAGAGTGTGTCTGGGAGGAGCGCTGTATGTGATTCAAGGACTGGCTTGGTTGAGATGGAGAACAATAAGAAGACTGTACATGGGAGGAAGAAGCACACACAGATGGTTGAGATTTGTGTTGATGAGCTAATGGAGAGAATGTGTGTGGAGATCTTGTGTGATAAAGTGGAGATCTTGTATGGCGAGGGGGAGATCTTGTACAGCAAGGTGAAGATCTTTGCAGTGACAAGAAGACCTTGAATGAGTGGAGGATATATGTGAGTGACATGGGGGTAAGTACCAATGGTGCACTTGAGCAGGAGAAATACATCAAGGTGAGGGTTATTGAGGTGAATTTGAGCGGTGGAGACGTTCAGCATGTCTCACTCTCAAGAGGGATGCCTGTGAAGGAGCCTTTCACTGTCCATTATTTGCCTGATGATGCTCCAAGGACATCAACAACACTCTGAAAAAAATGTGACTAGGTGTACAATGCGAAAACTCCATACACATTCCTATAACTTCTGTCGTTACCAATACCCTGATTAAGATCTTCCTGCATTCCACCATTGGGGCCGTTGTCAGGATCATCTGCTTTGTCCTTTTGCTGACATGGAAGTTCATTCTGGTAGCTATGATGGGCATGAATGAAGAATAATTAGGGTTAAAAAGTAAAACACTTACATTTCATCATCTTTGTGTTCCCTGAGATTATCACATTGACCCTGATTATTGTTTTGTGCTCCAAATCAGAATCCTTATCATGTTCCAAGTCAGAACCTCTATAATGCTTGATAACCCAATCTCTAATGTCATCTTGGTTTGCTGCTTGCCGTCCCCTTCACACGGGTAGTACCACTGGAATATGGTGCTTTGCAAATACTGGATGTGGGCAGCTTAAACTCAAACCTCTCCAAAGGCTGAGTGGTGTGAAGAGACTCAGAAGTGTGAGAGGGCTGAGATTCTGCCCTGCCAGTGACTTGATTTTTGGCTGTAATGGAACACTGCTTCAGATAGCCACTAGCTTGCAGCAGTTATAAAAATGAGCCATTATATTTTTTTTTGTTCTCTGAAGCTGTGACAGGGCCATAGGATTTTCTTCTACATCTAAGTCACCCATTTCAACTGTGGGCTCCCTGTGTCCTTTCCTTGCTGGGGCTTCTGATGTTTCTCCATTTTTTTTTAGTTGCACAATATGACAACCAACACCTCATATGCTTCTCTCTCTAGTGCTTTATTAGTAGTCATGTATTACATAATCAGCTGCATCAACAACACAAGTCAGGAGCAAACAGAGAGAATGGCCAAGGAGAAGATATTCATTAAGACAATATACTGACACTAGAATTATGGGACAGAATTGGTGAAGATCTATATCAAATAGAAAAACATGATGGTCGGGCCAAGAAGAGGCTGCTGGGATGGTTTGGAAGCAGTAGTTTGTGAGGACAGATGCAGCAATGTGCGCAAGTGCCACATCATAGTAGCAAGGGCTTCAAATGTGACTAGAATATAACAGGCATAACAATCAAGACAAAGGAGGTTGTAGGCTGGGTGTGAGGGGGTCTAGGCAGACAACAAAAATTGTCAAAGAGAGTTCTTAGATTCCAGGTTGAACATCACAGTAGAAGTCTTGAAGGCCCTCCTTTGGAAATTTGGAGGATTATGACATCTGAACCCTACTTCGGGAATAGAAGGATGATCTAGCCATCGGACTTTGCTGAGGGATTTGTGGGTGTGACTTCACAAAATTCTTGCTCAGATTCTTAATGTCCCGGTTGATGTTGGTATTCAGGAAAGTCATGCTCATCATGCACTGGAGAACACAGGTCAATATATATATGGCATAGTACCCTGTATAATAAAATTAAAAGCAAGCACGGTAAATTTTGGAAACAAACTTACAGTACCAGGCAAATAAGTCTGGTCGTATTTATTACTAAAATTGTGGTGGAGTTAAAGTCAATGAAGTAGCCAGTGCCTTGATGGATACTAAAATTAAGGTCCACATGTAGGACTTGTTTCTCAATCATTGCATGGTGAGTTAAAACACATGATCATTAGCGAGTTTATGTTCTGTACGGTTGATATGACTCACCAATTACAAAGGGACAAAAAGCCAAAATTACCTCTGTTCTAGAGCTGAATTGAGAAAGTGGTTGCCCACAAGGGCTCAAGAGAAGATGCTGGTAAAACCTATTGCAGAATGTGGTATCATCTTGTTTATCCTGCCTATATTCTTTGCAAATATGCACAGTGCAATAAGGCTGCCCCTCGTAATAAACATCTCAGTGTCAATGAACACAACAACATTAGGAATACCCTTGACCATCCTCAGGACAGTTGGTTTATAATTATCTTTAATTCCTCCACCCAACAATCTTTCAGAGTGTATCAACATTGGACTGTGGAAGACTAGAAGAAGGTTATTTGGTCAGATGAAACAAAAATCAATAGAATGGGGTCAGATGGTCAGGAATATGTGTGGAAAAAGGTAGGAGAACCCCTAGGAGAAAGAGAAGTCAAGGGTACACTGAGGTGTGAAGGAGGAAGTATGGTGGTATGGGGCTGCATGGGCTGGAATGGTGTTGGGATTCTCTGTGAAGTGAAGGGAAGAATGAATGCAGAGCAATACATGTCCATCCTAGAGGAATGTCTACTCAAAAGCATTCGGGAGTCAGGAATTGATGAAGAGGACATTATCTTTCAACAAGATAATGGCCTCAAGCATATCTCAAAGCTGGCCACAAAATGGTTTGAAGACCATGACATCAATGTTTTATTATGGCCAGCATAGTCTCCAGACCTAATCTCATTGAACACTTCTAGGAATTACTCAAGAGACTACTTGCTGCCTATTAAGATCCTCCAAAGGGGCTATTTGAACTATGTGAGAGAGTTGCAGTAGAATGGGCAAAAATTGCCAAAGAGGGGTGTAGAAATTGATAGAAAGTATGCCTAGAAGGATTGCAGCAATTATTAAAGCCAAGGGGGGCAACACAAAGTACTAGAATCATACAATAAGATTGGTTCAACATAAAGTCAAAAACATGTCCAAATGAGTCATAAAAATAGAATTGCCATATCTTGCCCATATAAGGGTTTCTTTCCCCATGATTTATAGCTCAGATTCGAGCCATGTTGTAGGGCTTCCAGACATATCCCTTCACCAATATGTTATATTTAGGTGCTGGCTTGCTATGATCCAATTACTCACAATTGCACAGACATTCAGACACTTTTTTGAGCCACTGTACTAACATAAATCTACTACTAGCTGTCATATCATATATGTATAAATCTAATGTATGTGCGAACTTGACCACACACTCAGGCTGCACCACCTAGAGGACTTGAACCTACAAATATATGTATTTTATGACCCCACTCCCCGCATCATTGAAATTGACGGACAACAAGCGCACGAGTTCAAATGTTGTGCGAAAGCGTGCAAGGCAAGCATCCACCGGTTCTTGGACAAAAAGGATGCACACTCCACTGGTAATATGCGCAAACACATGAAGTCTTGTTGGGGCGAAGATATATTGAGTGCGGCTGATGAGGCCAAGAACACCAACAAAGTCCATACAAAGATAGTCGGAAGTCTTTTGAAGAATGGAACAATCACTGCATCATTTGAACGAAAAGGAAAAGATAAACTGACTTACTTGCACTGCCAGCACACATGGGCAGAAACCAAGTAAGATCTTCGTGTTATCATTGTTGTTGGGGCTTACTTTCTCCAGGGTGGAAATCATGCGGTGGGTATCGGAAAACCTATGTCCGTTCAAGATTGTTAAGGACCGGTCACACAGCACTATGCAGAAGAAAATAACCGTTTGAAGTTAAAGGTGAGTAGTATAATTTATCTCAAATAAGGACAGCGCTAACAAGTTGTATACTAGGGCTTAAATGATGCGTGCAAAGTCTCGCACGTCCTCACACGTTTGGACGATTACAAGGCCCTGATCATGGCCTTGTCGGAGCACGATGTTCCTCGCTTGCAGTATATCCTTACTGTTGCCCTGAAGCGAGGAGCAAGCATCCGACAGATCATCAACACCCTCGAAGATGCTATTGCCGGCACTTATCATCCACGGGGCTACAGCGGGGATGATCTCGACATCGCAACATTAGCCTATCGGCTCGGGGGACGTCAACTGGTATACGCCTTTAGTCACCGCTTAGGCTTACCGTCATTACGCACCCTGCAAGCACATCGCACCTTTACATCCATCACGCCTACGATAGGCCCAATCGCAGCCTCACAACTTGACACGAATATAAACGCCCTCATCCTCACACCTTTAGGTAGTGTTGTCGTCCCTCGTCGTGGACACTCCCTCATGATGGATGAAATCGCGCTCGAGGAACGTGCCTCCCATCACCGTGCCTCCAATACTGTCATCGGTCTTTGTCACTCCCACTCGCATCTCGTTGATCCAACACTTCACACGTACGACTCAGCACTGCGCATCGCAGAGAAACTTGCAGATGGCACAGTGCACCTTGGCAAAGAGATGTCAGTCATGGCAGTAGGGTGCATTTGGAGATGACGAGATTTTTCCTATCTTCGGTGCGCCCACGTGCAAGTGTGAGGATTCCAATACCATGGTCGCCATTTTCACTTTGACAAGAGATCGTTGGCGAGCAACTGGAGCCGAAGAACACCTTGGACCGATTTTCAGCGTCGCAACTGACGGAGATTCGACACGTAGAGCAGCAGGACATCGCATGTTTCTCAAGTCTGAACTCTCATCGACATCTAGGCTATACGGGACACTGTCTCACATGCCCGGACTCAACCTCGCAACTGGAGATGACGAGATTACGTTGGATTTCGACTATAAGCATATATTCAAGCATAAGTCATTTTTTTAATTGTTGTACACGACACTAACGACAATAATACTAGGCTGGTGCACCTTACTTCGAACTTGCAAAGGGATGAAACTCAACAACGGGCACTCAGTCACCAGTGCCGTGCTTGCACGCTACCTCGCATGGCTCCCTGAACAAGATGAATCGTCCATAACGAAGCTTCTGAACCCAGATGATCCTCAGGACGTACCACGAGCCGTCGAACTGATGCAAGCCATCATCTCCCTTTCCAAACTCAAAGTCGACACTATCTCTGGTGACGTTGGCATGTGTGCTGACATGGCGGCAATCAAAGCTCTAGGCGCCATCTTAGAATCTCTACTCCTCCCTTTTATCGACATCACGCTCTCGCTCCAAGAACAAGTCGCGCACCTCAGCCGCTATGCTCACCTCACCTTCACGTTCTTCCGACTTCATCAGTCATCTTTCATGCCACACGTCCTTTACTACGACTCGCAGACAATGGTCAAGAACGCGTGTTTTTGCATCGCCAAACAGCAAAAGCTTGACGGCTCACAAGGGTTTTGGCTCATACAGTCCGGCGACGATCGTCTTGAGAAGCTGTTCGGCATCACGCGTATGAAGGGGCAGCATAATTCTGCCATGAACTACTCACAAGCACTCGATCGAATTGGCGCTGCCAAAGATATCAACACCGTCTTCAAGAGACACCCAGACCTTGAATCTGGCTCCCGACGGCTCAAACTCACGTGTGTCGAAGGTCTTGACCACATTCGGCGGGACTTATGGGTTGGAGATGTAGTTGCCTCCCACTGTGACCTACCGTCTGCTTGGAAACATGGTCGTGAGATGGCGTTGACTGTTCTCGCTGATGCTCATGTCCCTGCAGTATGCTGCGCATTTGAGATCTTTTTTTCGGAGCCAGGCTGTGACCTGATGCGCCCTTGGGGGGAAACAAATATTTAGGAGTTGCGTTAGAGGTTGAGTTGACGAGTACCGCAGAGCCAGCAGGAGTCCCACTTTCTGATAATTCTATCCCAGCAGCTCCTACCGTCGATGAAGAGCCGGAGTTGGAAGAAGATACCCTCACACTCGAGGAAGCGCTGACGCACGGTGTTCCCTCCGGCAACCCTAACATTACCCCTACCCCATCATCACCCTCCGCTGCTCCAGCTCTTGCATCCGGACCTGGAATCAACGCTGACGACTACCTTCTCGTTAACGGCAAATATATTCACAAGGAAACAATATGCCGACGTGTGCTCAACAAATTCTTCATTGCAAAGTCCCTCAACCGACAGGAGCGGGTCTACAGTACTGGATTTACAAAGGTCAACCGACAACGCAAGCTCCCGGGCAGGTCTATCACCGGTGGTAACACATTTATCATCTGGGATATCTTCCTGACCATTGTCCGTGCTAACCATACCCTTACAATCGCCCTCGTATGTTCCACCCTCATCAAACACCATGGAATCACGCGTCACGACATCCTCATCCCCAACGTATGCACTGCTCACGTCAAACTTACCGGCCAGATCTTGTCCTTGCTCCCTACGCATCAACCTGCCAAACAATGTTCCTGGCTTTGGACGGGCGACTACATCAAAACGAACTCGAGCATTCAAGGTATCAGTCATTCAACCGACAAGGTCGTCGAAATTTCGGTACCTGGACTTCTCATTGAACTTGTCAACCCGGAGACAACATGTGTACGTTTGCGTGATGACATCAACTCCGACTACTTTCACGCATTGAACAACATTGGGAACACGTGGGTGGTTGAAGAATCTGTACTCTCTTTCGCCTGTGATGCGTTATGGAGCAAAGCCTGCGAGAATTCAATCGCGCTCAAGACTATCATTCAAGTCCCTAGTCCCTAGTCCCTCAGATCCCTCGACTTTTCCTTACGCACTCCCAGATGGTGAGCTTCATTTTATATATATTGGATATACTACTAATGTAATTACATAGGTTCAGCAGGTATCATTTGTACCGAGGCAAGTGAATGACTTGCTGCCAGCGAATCTGGCCCATTATCAGAGTGTCCGCTATGCGGGAACAAGACGGACTCGATGCGTGCACACGTTGGTGAGCACATATTGCGAGCATCTCGTGGTGTAACGAGCATCGAAGACAATCTGAAGGAACAGGTGAGTTCGTGCTATGATCATATAGCCTTAGTGTATTGATTTTAATTTTTAGGTCGGTCACCATCAGCCATGTGGATTCTGCGGACGTTCGGGACACGAAGAATGCAAGGTTCAGATCAAAATCGATCGCACGTACAAGACTCTCGCTCGCTATGATTCTGCTTTCTTACACTTGCTATCTCATGTTCTCGTGGATTTCGTAGGTTCCAATTGCATAGTATTACTCAGGAATCAATATACGCATGTTTCTGTCTCATTATATTGCATACGACGCGTAAACGATGCGTGAATATTGAGATGTGTCTCGATGTACCAGTAAGATTTTCAAATGTTACAGAATTACTCGATTTGGGCATGTGACCTCACGTGAGGTCACTGTAACGGTGGTGGTGGTGGGTCACCGAACTAAAATGGTTGGTGTCTGGAACTTACCGATCGCACGCCTCTTGACCTGCTGTGGGAATTACCCCACAACACCCAAAACATCATCCCAATATGGTATACCACATAATTATAATTATTCCCACACCCCCCCCCACCTCACTGCAGCTTCACCACTACACCACAATAGGTCCTCCCTTGTATTTAAGTAGTAGTTTGGTATATACATGTATAATATTATATAATAGACCACTTTTTTGTCTATTTGTGTGCCTGCTCCTCCTCCAGGGCCTTTTCAAAATAGGGTAGGGTACAGAACATTTTCGCACTTTTGCCCCTTTGATAGGGGTGTGTTCTACTATATTCAGAACATTTTCATGAGCATATATGTATATGAGTAGATTCCCATCATTATTTGACCCTCTGAAGTGTCCTACATCAATAGATATAGCACATATGCAATACAACACAGAATATGCCCCCATTTAATTATTTCTAGGTGAACGGACTTGTAAAAATGATGCCCAACATCTATTCAACAATAGGAACAATGTATCAGGAGCCCAGGACCGTAGGATAATCCCCTGTTGCATGGTGTGCCCCCCCTCTCCTGGTGGTTTACCCCCTGTGAAAATTTTCCTTGTAGGACCGGACCTCAATTGAGGTAGGGGGTCTGTTTCTATGTATATCTAAGGTAGTTCTATCATATAGCTGATCCAGGACACACATAGGATCCTGCCACAGGAACACAAACATAGAAAATCGCATTTTTGACACTTTTGATGTTTTTCAGTATCTTACTCTTGCATAAGTAATACAACCTGTTCATATATCATTATTATAGTATATATACTTGCTTTTTGTCACAAGGATCAGCTCAAAATAGGCCAGGAGTTTGAGTTAGTGTGAATGCTTGCTATTTCTACTGATAAGGAGCCCATATGTGACGGTTACCTTGATCGATGAGCATGGGAACCGATCACGACCAGAAACCGAGGCCTGGAACGTCGACCTCACTAGAGAACACATATCATTTTCTTTATTTCAATTCTAATTAATCACAGGCATTCTACACTACGTTCTATATAATCACAGCTCGTATGTACAGTTCCCTAGTTCTTTCCAAATAAACCGGACTGGTATCTGGTGACCTTGTGAGAGAGACTCTGTCAGTTTTCACTGTGCTGTTACATCTAGTCTGTGACTACAACTAACATCACATATTTTTTCACCTTCCCCAAAACCCCTAAACTACTCTTTGAGTTTTAAACTCAAAACCCTTCCTACCTCTTCGTCACTACCGCTGACTGGTCCGGCCCACCACGTCTGCAAACCGTGACGATGATAAAAACCCCATCCACGATGACATATAACCTGCGCTCGCGCTCCCGCGCTAGAGCTAGCTCAGTTTCTACCCCTGCAAGCGAAAAGAACGCCACGGTGAGAGACAACTTCGGAAAATTAATTGTTAACCTACTATCTAGCGTACCTACTCTGGCGGAGGGCCCCAGCGCAACAGCTGAGCTGCCCAACTCTGTTGAGTCCCCATTGACTTCGGCGGGGCGGTCCTCAGAGACCACAAGCCCAAGTCCAGCCGTGTTGAGACCCGTTCGTTCGTATAGCGACGTGGTCCGTGCGAGTAGCCCTGCGAGCAACCAATCGGTTGCCCAGGATAGTACTATTACCCCAGACTATACAGTAGATGTGGGGGTAGATAGTAATAATAATAATAATAATAAATCTGTTGAAGGAATGCCCGAGCGTGATGAGAATCAGTCCACAATCGGAAGGAATGAACGCACCAGCAGTGAGGAGGATGATAGTGATCACCCTTGGATGGAAGTCATCCGCAAAAGAAAGGCTCGGCCCAAGACACCCGAGTTGCTCTCTAGTGAGCAAAGAAAGACCGTTGGAAAGGCAGAAGAACTGCTTACCTTGTCTGAGAAAAAGAGACTCGCTAGGCGAGAAGTTGGTATTAGCGCACAACGAGAGACCGCTATAAGGGACACTGACCGTGGAGAGGGACCCTCTAAGGGCAAGGGAATCGATCCCAGGAACTGGGGGACTGCCATATCCGATGACGAGGACATCGACATAGAAGAACAGCGCGCGGCCCTCGAATCCTTCAAAACGGCCAAGGAATTGGCTAGTCAAACGGAGTCTTTGTCTGAAGAAGAGACTGCAACTCACCAGTTTGTGAAGCGGCCTCTGATGAAGAGTTGGGAACCTGATATCTTCGAGCAGGCTGCCCTACAGCAGAAGGCAATTGATATCGCGGTTGCTAGGGCGGAAAATCGCCTTCGTCGGGAATATGATGAAAGGATCAAACTACTCACCGAGCAAAAGGCGGTCCGAGAACAAATAGTGGCTTCCCGTGTGAAGCCGCAGGATCCAGTTAAGACCTTGGTGGATAGGGTGGTCAGGCCCGCTTCAGATCGCAGGACGCATAGGATGACCCCACAGGCCATGGAGCCTGTGCATCAGGTAGCATCCAAATCCTACATAGGACAGGCGCTAGGGCGACTTGGACGGAAGACAAGAGTCGGGGAAGACCCGAGTTCTTCGTCGTCGTCAGAGTCCACGTCGAGTTCATCCGATAGCTCGGAGGATAAGACGAGCTCATCAGAATCTAGTACTAGTGATGAGGACTCTAGAACAAAGAAAAAGAAGAGTAAGTGCTCTCGAAAGAGTTTGAAAAGGAAGAATAAACGAACCACGTTGAAGCCCATACCCCCGACGGTATATGATGGCGACGTTGACTCGCGCGCCTTCCATCGATTTATAACGGAAGGGACGGCATACGTGAACGATGGTAAAGTTAAATCTAAAAAGAAAGTCTTCGTGCTGTTGCATTTTCTCAAAAGCAAGGCACATGAGTTTTATATACAAGAAGTATCGGGTTATCCATACCGATGGCACCTCCGCGAGTTCTTCACAGAACTATTTAACTACTGCTTCCCTATTAATTTCCGGACGGAACAGCATGGTAAGTTGAAGCACTGTTTCCAGAACAACAAGTCCGTCCAAGATTATATCTATGAGCTAAATGAGCTATGGAATATGATTGGGGATGTGGAGGAACGAGATAGGGTGACTCGCCTATGGACTGGACTGAATGCAGAGATTCAGCGTGAACTCTGGAAAAAGGAATTAAATCCAGAGGTATCCTCGTTTAAGGAGGTCCAGGCCGCAGCTGAGATAATTGAAATAGCCCACTCGGTGCCTATGGGACGAGATCATAAGTCTACCAAGAGAGAAAAGGATAACTCACCAGTGATTGGCAGTGCAGCTGCTTCACCACGACATCCTAAGGGAAAGAGGGAACGGGGAACGGACAGACGTCCTCCCCAAAATCAGTTCATACCACGACGAAACTCTGGGGAAACGAATAAATGTGATACCTTTGTTTCTAGGGAGTCAGGGCAGCGAGAA